AAAAAAAAAAAAAAAAAAAAAACGTTCGCGTTCGGTGGGTTTTGGGACCCGTTCGCGTTCGGCGACCGAACGGCGAACACGAACAGAATGCTACACAGATATATACATATATCTACATATACATATCGTCAAACAGAGATGCCCAGTATATGTATATCGTCAAACAGATATATGGGGTTCAGCCTCCTGATGAGTCGGTGAAACTCCGATGAGACACTTTGTCACAGCTCCTCATTCTTGTCCTCTTCTCCCTCTCTGCCTCTGGTTTACCGCGCACCATTCACCGCGCACCATGGTTTACCGCGCACCATGGTTTACCTATGGTTTACCTATGGTTTACCTATGGTTTACCGCGCACCATTTCTCTGCCTCTGGTTCGATTTGTGCATGTCATCCTTTGTGCAGAGGCCGTGCTCATCTTCTCTGCATTGTCCTGATTTTGACAGCTGTCCCAGAGGACCCCTTGTGCTTCATATTATTCCACAGCTTGTGCAACTCTGTTGGCATAGACTCCAAGCATATATCCTTTGTGAGCTCATGTGTCCTCCTCGTTCCCTCCCTCCTTCCCTCCCTCCCTCCCTCCCTTGTACTCAACGACAAAGAGTGTCATAAGAACTGTCATCACCATAAACAACGAATTAGGTCCCAATCCACAGCCACATACTGAATATCCTCAACTACATATCAAATGTCATTCCCGTCCCCACTCCACAGCCACAAACAATGAATTTGGTCACCTATTACAAGCCCTGACCTATGACAAACACAAACATTTTTCAAATGCAAAAGAAGGAAAAAAATGAAAGAGCCTCAACGAGTCCACTATACACTGGGGGCTGGCTATATGGGCAGTTTCAGGTCGACAGATCACCCCCCCTGTGGGACAAATATATCTTCCTGAAAAGGAGGGGGGGGGAGGGGGGGGAAGACAAGCAGGCATTTCCCTGCTGTTGCATTGCACAAAAGCAGGCGATCTTCGCAGAAAAAAAGTGCACGTCCGTAAAGCCATATGGTGCTAAGTTAGTAGCCACTGCAGAAAGAGGTGAGCTCGACTCCATGTCTGCGCTCGGAGCCTGAAGGCCGAAAAAAACCGATTTGCCGCCTTTGCACCGCCATCCTACTCCACTGCTCTCTTATGGCATACTAACACTGGGAGTCTGGGACCCTTTTTAAGTTTTTTTTGAAAAATTTTCCCTTTTTTCTTTATTTCTGGGACTTTCCGGATATGTGCAACTGCAATTACAGCCCCACAATCACGTATCTGACCGCATTACGGCCCCACTAGGACGTATTTGAACACAACTACAGCCCCAAAATCACGTCTCCGACTGCAATTACAGCCCGGGCCCACAAAAGAACATATGTGAGCACAACTACAGCCTGAGCTGCCTGACCTCGATGTGTCAGATTGCACGTACGTCCAGAGCTCAGTCTACCATCTTCCGCCGAACATAACGCATTTGCACTGTAAACGAATACAATGCATAGGTCATTTTCTATTCGAATGCAACGCATACGCGCTCTTATTTGGATCATCATTTTTTTTTCTTTCAAAAACTCGAGTACAATGCATATGCGTTAGGTTCGGGGGAAGACAGTAGTGTGAGTGCTTATTTCACTCCAGGAGAGCCGGAGCACACACCTGCATGCATCACCTCTTCACAGATCATCGCTCTCTCTCTCTCTCTCTCTCTCTCTCTCTCTCTCTCTCTCTCTCTCTCTCTCTCTCTCTCTCTCTCTCCATTGCTAAACCACTGAATGGCATCCCACCACCTTGACCCTGTGAGGCACCACACCACACCCCTCCGCTGCATCACCCCTGAAAGGTACCACATCAGCTTGCCCCTGTTTTCTTATGATTCGCTACCCCGGTGAGCCACCCCCACCTCACCCCTTCATCCTTTCGGCCCTGCAAGGCATCACGTCACTTGCAATAAAGCCATGACTACCCTAATGAGCCACCACTACCAAACCCCTCCATCGCTTCACCTCGGCAAGGCATCATGTCCCCTTACCCCTGCAAGGCATCACACCAGCTTGCCCCTGCGACCGAATGATCATCACACCTGTGAGCCACCGCCACCTCACCCCTCCATCACTTTGCCCCTACCACCAAACCCCTCCATCGCTTCACCTCTCCTGGAAAGCATCACGTCAGCTTGCCCCCGTGATTGAATCATCACTTCCCCTGTGTGGCAACCCCACCTCACCCCTCCATTGCTTCGCCCCTGCAAGGCATCACATCACCTCTGATTCCCGTGAAGCACCCCCACCTCACCCCTCTGCCACTTCATCCCTCCAAAGGCACCACCGCCTCACTCCTGCGATCAAGTCATCGCACCTTGCCTCTGCGTTCGAGTCATCACTACCCCTGTGAGGCACCCCCACCGCATTCCCGTGAAGCACCCCACCTCACCCCTCCGTCACTTCGTCCCGGCAAAGGCACCACCGCCTCGTCCCTGCGATCAAGTCATCACATCGCACCTGTGGGTCGTACGATCTCTCTCTCTCTCTCTCTCTCTCTCTCTCTCTCTCTCTCTCTCTCTCTCTCTCTCTCTCTCTCTCTTTTGGGTGACTGTCAGGCCCCACTGGTGCTATGTTCCTGCTATGAAAGCACGAACCTGGGTGGTATTTCTGCCAGGTTCATGCTTTCCAAGCAGGAACATAGCACCAGCAGGGGCCAGCCTTTATTCTCATCAACAAATGTTCATCCAGAATTTGGCAGCAGGCTTCAGGAAACGTCTTGTTTTTTGTGTGCAGCCACAATTGTTGCACCTCGACGTACTACCAAGGCAAAAAAAGAGGCGCTTGACGTTGTCATCACGCCGATCCGTAGTATGCAGTTGTTGGCGACTTGGGAGTCCTGCTTCGGTTCCCTCAGCCCAGTCAAGAAGCAAGTTGATACTGACTCACACAGTCTTAAACAGCTCCCGCATCTCATTGCACGAGGGCGAAAGCACCTCCCCCGGATAACATTTCGAGATGAGGTTCTCGAGAGACTCGTACTGGCGCAAGAAGTCGTCCTTGCATTTCTGCCACAGAAGCGGCAGCATTTCCGGAGAGATGTGCTTCTGCATCCTCTTGTACATAGTCTGCAGCAGTTTCTCCACGCCTGGGCTCGCGGACAGCGTCGCCTTGAGCAGTTTGCGCAGGTCTGCCCTCGTCAAGTTCGGCTGGAAAGAAATCTCTTCGGGAGTCCGCTGAAACAGCAGGTTCTCTTCAATTTTCTTCGCAAACTCGAAGAGTTTGCCAAACTGGTGATCAATTATCGCAGTGATGTAGCGCTGACACGCAGCATCGTACGCACTGCTGGCACGGTGGTAATATTCGCCCAACGTCGGCACGTGCTGCGCGATTTCGTACGTGGAGTTCTGGAAGGCTGCATAGTTTTCTAAGAGCAACACGTCCGCGTGCTTTGGATCCGCCTTCGCAATGTTCTCGAGCACTTCGAACATGTTCGCAACAATCTTCTTGTACGCACGGTCAACTGCGTCCCTTGACTTGTTCTTGACAAGGCATTCCATTCTCTGAGCCAGGGCCTCGAATCGTTGGAAATACGGCAACACCCCTGTTGTCTTCATATTGCGATCGTACCTCTCAATCGAGTGACTCATCTCATCTACAAACCGGTCAAAGTTCTGGTTAATCCTTTCCTGCAGCGATTTGAGCATTTTGAAGAGAAAACTCCCTGGTTCTTTGGACTGCGATATGAGACATCTATCCATGACGCCCAGCATGGCGATGCAGCGGAGAGGATCCACCTTGCATGCCCAGTCTGCAACTGCGATGAGCTCATCCTGCATACCTGCAAATAGCAAGTCGAGGGCTGAATTCAACTCCCGGACCTCTTTGTCAGTTGGTGCAGGCGGCTTTGCATCGGAGCCATCCAGTGCCATCGGCGAAACGTCATCATCGTCGTCATCATCCTTGGTGGTATTGCTCCCCCCTCTCAAAGAAGAAGGGACCGCAGGAGATGCATCAAAGCACATGAAGGCGGCAAAGAACATGCTTTCCGACACGAAGAGGGGCAGAAACACATGGAGCATCCGCGCAAACACATCTGACACACCAGATGTGCTGTCACTGCTATTCGGGTTCGGTGCACCGCTCTCTAGCCATGACGTTGCCCGGGATGCTGGCACCTTTACCGAATTCTTTAGCTCGTTTGCAGTATCTCTCATCTCTCGCCGTAGCAGGTGGTTCATCGCCGAGGCGTATGATTTGCGAAGAGCCTGGAGGGACGCTTCGTCCAGCGCCTTCAAGTACTGAATCAACCGTGCATACGACTTCAAGTTCCACTGCAGGTCACTGTGATCGACCCCTCCTCGCAAAGGCCCCCCCTTGGGAAGAGAGCCTTGCTGCCTTGGAGGCGTGAAATCGACAATCTTCATGAAGTATTCCTGCAGGAAATCCTGGGCCCGCCGCGCGAACATCGTTTTCAAATTGTCGAGCACTGCCTTCTTCTCCCTGACCACCCTCATCTGCGAATAGAGAGGGTCCTTGCTGAACGAGCTAAGCTGCATCAGTGCCTTCACCAACCAGTCCGCCGCCTCGCAGTTGGTGTTGATAAGCGGCTCGTCAAACGGAGACTCCACCAGCAGCGATGCATATTCCGGTGGCACATGAAGCTTATTCAGCAGCTTGTCAAGCTCTCCGAGCAAACCGCGAGTATTCTGTTCTTGCCTGTCCAGCATGTTGTTCCGTCTCTCGATCATCTCAATATCCTCCCTCATGTGCTTCAGCTTTATGTTGAAGATATGCAGCCATTCGTCCATGTCTTCCACGTTGGTCGCGACATTCTCAAGCCCCTTGATTATTTCCTCAACCATCGGCTCGTTGTCCAAGATGGCATGTAAATTGGCAGCCTCCAGGGCACTAAGTTCCCTCTTCAGACGCTCAGAGAAGGCCTCCGCCTCATCGATCCCCATCACATACGTACCAAGCAGAGCCTCCATGTCTTTCTCTTCCTGAGCAGAGACAAGGTCATGCTGCCCAACGACCTGGACAGCGTTCTCTGCAAGCCGCACAGACTCACCTGCCTCTCCCAGTTTTCTAGCCGTCTCCAAAGTACCAGCGATCGGCAGGGGCTTTGCATTCGACTGGGCCCAGAGAGCCAGTTCCACCAAGTCGAATCCCACCAGGCTTGGGACACGGCCGAGATGGTCCTTGCTCAGCTGCCGTAAGGTCACAAACAACCCGTTGCGATCTTCTATACTTCGACAACTCCATTGCGCCGGGATGCCCTTCGAGTTATCAAAAACAAGAACGAATCCTAACCCTGACTTGTCTCCTTCCACAGCCTCCACCCTGACCAGATGTTTCAGCTTATACTCTTTCGACATTTGTGGCAATCCACTGCCGGTTGCTGGTTTCAGCGCATGCATCTTTATTTTGAACTTTTGGGTGGTTGCTGATCGTTTTGCTGTGATCGCCAAGATGCGTGGCTTGCTTGTCATCCGTCCCTTCCTTACCACCCCTCCCCATGCTGCCTGACTCTTTGAAACCTTGATCCCAAGTATCACCGTGCTGTCTGTCTCCGCAAACGCTGCCTCCACAGCCTGCATTATGCTCTTCCCTCCCCTAGCCTCCTCCATCATGCCCCTTCCAAAACCTCTCTCTCTCTCTCTCTCTCTCTCTCTCTCTCTCTCTCTCTCTCTCTCTCTCTCTCTCTCTCTCTTGCTCACTCGCTCAGGCGCTTCAAACGTGGGCTCATCTCCTCCCTTCAGCTCCTACAATCAGCGTATGCCCATCCCCCCTCCATTTCACCTCTGCACTGCAGGGTTGGAAAATATGGGGCAACATCCTTGTGCTCCTCATCATTTCAGAGGGCCTCTGTACCTCCCCATCCGTTCACATATGTGCCTCTTCCATCCCGTGTGTTCTGCCGAACTGGTGTCGTTCACGATCATCTTATTCCAGTCACGAGTGCCGCAGACGGGTTTCACTGATCAGCTGTCTGTGTCTGCGAAAGACCCCCAAGCTGCTGCAAGGACACTGCAATAGATTAGAGAAGAGCCCTGCGCAGAGAGAACCAGAAGTTTCATTCTTCACGACCGTCTGCAAATGCATTTCTTGCTTTTCTTTTTGGTTCTTACTACTTAGTAGTTTTTACTTTGACCATTTCTCAATCTTCCATGTGCGACCCTTTTTGCAGGGGCCATGCTTACACCCTCACCCCCCCCTTCCCTCTTCTTTCCTTCCTTCCTCTTTCTTCTCCTTTTCTTTTGTTCTTTCACAAGGGCCATGCTAAACCTTCTCTGTATCCTCCCAATTTTAATAAATGCCCCGAAGGACATGCGAACACCCTTCCAACCTTCTCTATACTATCATTCCAGTTTGGACAATGACAGTCTGCCGCACATCTCAAACCTCGTTGATAGAAAGACACCCAATCTCTGTATTCCAATTGGAACGAAGAAAGCTGTGTCATGGTAGCGCCTCGTGCACGGAAAAGCAATGACGAAACCCTCCTGAAACAACAGACCTCACTGACCGTTTTGGTAGGGGAGACGATGCTGAAACTGTTGCGGGTAACGAAACTGACACAAAAGCTTTTCGGTATAACTGCACTGGAGTGCCCCTCAATTGTTACAAACAGCAATGTAACTGCCACACAACCCTCTTCATGGAATCCAAGCCTATCACACAAGTCAAGCAGTTACCTTCAGTAACCAGCTGCACTTTCCAGCAACGAAGGGGCCTACCCATGGAACGGCCTAGGGTATGTAAGGCATACCCAAAAGTAGGGAAGGGTACACCCTGGGGTAGGGAACGGTACACCCTGGGGTAGTAGGGAAGCCTGGGGTAGGGAAGGGTATAGCCTAGGGTTGGGTAAGCCCCAGGCTTGGGAGGGGTACAGCCTGAGGTAAACCCTAGAGTAGATAAGGCATACTCAAGGAAGGGTACACCCTGGGGTAGGGAAGGGTATAGCCTAGGGTTGCGTATACCCCAGGTTTGGGAAAGGGTATAATCTAACGTAAACCCTAGGGTAGGGAAGGTATACCTGAGGGTAGGGAAAGGTGTACCCTAGAGTAGTGAAGGGCACACCCTGGGGTAGGGAAGGGCATAGCCTGGGGTTGGGTATACCCTAGGTTTGGGAAGAGCATAACCTAAGGTAAACCCTGGGGTAGGAAGGTATACATAGGGTAGGGAAGGGTTTACCCTAGGGTAGGGAATGGCACACCCTGGGGTACGGAAGGGTACGGCCTAGGGTTGGGTATACCCTGGGAAGCGTATAACCTAAGGTATACCCTAGCAGGGAAGTGTGAACCCTAGGGCGGGGAAGGGTGTCACCTAGGGTAAGTAAGGGTAAAGTCTAGGGTAGCGTAGTGTAGCAAGCCAGGACGCTCTTGCGGCTTAAACCACCAGTACACGCCTCACATCAGCCGTGGGGCCGTGTCAGAGGCCAGAAAGCGACGCCGGCTGCCGATTCTTTTATTGACGGTGCGCCAGCGCCGACTTTTCCGGATAGGCGACGAGTTTCTTTTCCGCAAGGCTGGGGCCGTGTACTGGCGGCTTAAGTCTCAGACTTATCCACAGAGAGACAGGCCCTTTGGCAGTCATCAATGATGTGGTTTTGTTGCTTCCTATCCTTCCGTTAGAAAGCGCACAACCAACAGACCAATGGGCCTAGCTCAGTTAGCATACCCACGAACTGTTGAAATACAGACCGAAGTTCAAATCCACATACCACCAGATGACCAGAATAAAATCATTCTGAATTACCTGGGGCCGGTCAGTTCAACAATGATATCTCAAGGTCATTGCCCTTTTTATTATTAAAAAAAAAAAAAACAGAAAAGAACGCGTCCAACCATCAGGCGATCAATTCCGGCATATGGTACACATCTCTAACTCTCAGTAAACAGATCAGGAGTTCGAATCCTGACGAGATTAGGTGAAATATTACTTCCAGGGGCTACGCCCTTTTGAAAAAAGGGAAACATGGCATTTGCATCCAAGACACCAGGCAATCAATCAGCTGCATGGACATGCCAGCTATATGCTGCACAATGCAGCGACAGTATGAACCAGATCACCAACCACACAAAAGAAGCTCATCACACAGTCAGACTGTGACTTCTTTCGACTGAACTTCGCTCTAACTGTGATCAGATACATGCCTGAAGTCCTAGCGTGAGTACGATCTGAATGCGCCCCTGATCTAGGACAGTGCAAGATGATTGAACAAAAAACATTTGGAGGAACCAGAGGCCGAGGGGGAGGAGGCAGACGAAAGGGAGGACAAGAAGAACAGGAGGGGGAGGAGAGGGAGGAGGAGGAGGCAGGGCAGAGGACGACAACTGACCTGGAAAGGCGGCTGGGGCGATGGCAGTCGGCAACCGTAAAGTTCCTGTTCAAAAAAACACGGTGGGAAAAAGAATTGGGCAACCTACAGGTGGTGAATTTTTTTTTTACCGAGTGCAGTTTTTTTTTTCAGAGCCACCTCACGGCTGCTGTAACGCATGTGCCAAATTGAGCCGCTGGGCTCTTGTCGCACCCGCAGACAAGCACGAACGGGCGGGCCTCGAAAAAGGGGGGTCAAACAGGCCTTGGAAATGGCCCAGGCCGACAGTTGACCAAAACGTCAACAGTCGGCTAGTGGACCCAGGCCCAGATCCGAGAAGTCAAAGCCAACATATAAGATTTCCTGGCCGTCAATCTGGAATGATCTACCGGTGGTCTGCGGGTTCCGGAAGTCCGGAAGATTCAGTCGTGCGTATGTACCTGATTTCGTCAGATGTGAAGCTGCCGCCGATTCCGCCCGCTGTGGGAGGATCGTTTATCTGCGAGAGGCTGCTTCTACATCGTCCACATGTCATACTGAGTACAGAGCGCTGACATGGCACATTGAGTACAGATTGCTGGCGTGGCACATGGATTGCAGATAGCAGATTGCCGACGTGGCATATTTTGTGCAGATTGCTGATGTGCCAGAGGTGGGGATCCTGAAGGAGAAGAGCGACTTCTTTGCTGTGTCACACTTCTCCTTCCAACTGCCTATTCTCCCCTCCTCCCTTTTCTGGGTACTGCGGACTTTGAGACTTTACACGTGGGAATGAGGAATCATGTACTTCGACGGCTTCGAATTGATGCACTTGTTGGATTGATTATCTCACGACATTGCACGACATTGTTATCTGCGACATGATTGGATGACGAGATTGGGTTCATTACACGGTTCTTGAGAGTGCACTAAGTCCACTAGTCGGTCAATAAGATTTAAAAAGGGCCCGGGATAAAATGGCGCAAAGCTGGCCAATCAGGCAGCCGGGGGAGCCTTCCAGCTGAATTCGGGCGGGGCCCGTGCGCCTGCATAAGCAGCCTAGTAAAAAAAAAAAGAAACCAAAAAAATCAGGAAAAGCAATATGTTATTAACTTATTATGCTGTACAAAGATGCAGTGCAAACAACGTTTGGCTGAGCGCCAGCTTGAAATTTCTCACGAGTTTTGAAATGAAAGTAAAATAGAAAACAAGAGCTAAGGTATTCCCCATTATACCCCTTTGAACCCCTTGAAGACTCTTCAGAGTAACTTTAATAGCCCCCACCTCGCCCTGGGTGAGCCATCACCGAATTGGGAGACAAGGACAGATTCTCGCTGCTGAGGCGAAAGGGCTGTCCTGGTCCGAAGTAAAAAAAAAAAAAAAAAAAAAAAAAAAAAAAAAAAAAAAAAAAAAAAAAAAAGTCTTGCCTCATTTTCGACACGCCGTGCTTTCTCAGGGGCGTTCCCCTGTGCCAGCATGGCGCGGGAGGGCCCAGCAGAGTGGGCGAACGTCTTTAAAAAAAACGTAGACTGGGCCTAGCGGGGGTTAATATGCATCCCTTGATTGTGAGAAATAGCTGTGGATACGGGGGTCCCCCATGTAGGCTTAGGAGAAGCGGTCGGTAGGTAGTGAAAGGTGAGATTGAGAAAAGGAGACAAGGAGGAAAACTGATAAAAAAAAGAGAACGAAACAAGCAACAAGACGGCGAAAGAAAATGAAAATCAAAGAAAAGATAGACTGGGGCTGAAACAAGCAACAAGAAAGGGGGGGGGGGGGGGGGGGGGGGAGAAGCACATAGCACAACGCCAAACTACAATTTGAGAGGGAAACAAAACATTAAAAGAACACCCAGCCCATGTGACTGAATGGTTCATGTACGGACTGTCGGTAAACAGACCTGAGTTCAAACCCTCATGCAATCAGTTAAGTAATATATCTCTGAATTACCTACCGTCTTCACCCAAATAGAACGCCCGGTCATTATACCCGTATTTGGCCAACTTCCAGTCCAGATACAGCGATAATTACTGGGCATTCTATTCGGGTGAAGACGGTATGGCCTGTCAGTCGATGTTAAACCGTCACTCCGTCGGCCGGACGGAGATAGCCCTCCCTGTGAGTTCGGGCGGTTTTTTTGAGAGAGGGCAGACCAGAGGCCAAAACGGCAGGCCTAGTCGCGAAATTTGAAAGCGGCAATTTTGGCGATTTTTCATGGCCAGAAGAATTCACAGAGAATTCTGAAAATTTGAGCATTGGTAGATTAGGTCGTGGTCTTTCCAGGAAAAATATCAGAAAATAAAAATAAAAAACATTTTCACCGTGAAACAATCGCCACGCCGATTCGTTGCATGCTCCAGTTTTGCCACAGTGCCGTTTGTAGGCCAACGGGAAAAGTATTGCAACTTCTGCGATTTTTTCTGCACCAAAGAATGCGTCAAAGACTCTGAAAATCGGAAG